GGAGTTTCACCCTGTGAAGCTCTGCCTCGGAGACCAGACAGCCAAACTAGACGATGTCTCCATCTCATCTCACTGGAACGGCTGCAGTTAGGTTGCAGGGTTCATGTGAAGTTTATTGTGTGAAGATCGGCATGGGATAGCTCAGCTCCACTAGACAAAACCAAGAGGTCTCAATTAGCATTAGGAAAGCCTAGGTCTCATTTCCAATTCTTTTCATATTCATGGTGAGCACAGAGTCAAAACAATGGCTGCCAGATATCCATGTTTCCAACAGATGATTGTGGCTTCATTAGCGATCATGGGTTGCTTAAGCTTCAGGGGACTTCCTGGTTTTGATCCACCCTAAGATTAACAGGAAAAAAGGTGATAGAATATTGAAAGTCCACCCCCAGGATCCCTTTTAATAAAGGCTACAAATTGTTGAAAGGGGTAGTAATCAGAAGTGAAATCAAATGTATAAGGTTTAGATATTAAAAGTGGAAGATGCTATGTCTGCAAATTCATAGCAGGCACTGGGAGAAACAGACAAAATAAGGAGGAGGAAAATAGGCATGCTCCTATTTTGATACCACAGGGTAGGCCACAGGGTGAGATAAGCCAAGAGTTCACTTGGAGCTCACCCAAAGAGAGCAGAATGTTTCAAGTGACTAGATTGCAGGAATCATGTCCAGTGTCCCAGTTATAGCACTGTCTCTTCATATGAATGATATGAAGCGTATGTAGTAAACAGCAATTAGTGATGGAGAAACCCATGGTTCAGGTAGCCATCTCTGAGAGGAAGGTCCACAGGGGAGTTCAAGAGCTGAGGACAGAGGGTGAGATCAGGAGGGGGCTGGGCTTGGGTTGTAAATAAAAGGAAAATATTCACACCTGCCCTAATTATGGTAACCCTGGATCTGCAGGAAAGGCCTTGATTTTATGAATTTTATACTTTTCAATAAAAATTATTTGTGAAATGTTAAGTAAATGTGACAAATTCTATAATTTTGTGAAGCATATTATATAAATTAATTTGCAAATAAGAAAAGAATCTGCCTATAATTTGGCTAATGTAAAGTTTATGAAATAGAGTCACTACAACCATCTTTGCTGTTATGCTAATAATTAAAAATCCATATTAAATATGTGTATTGAAAATATATATTTTATAAATGACACAAAAAATATTCTATTCACCTTAATCTTCAGCAAAGTCAGTCTCTAGAGTTCCTATTTCTACGTCACACACACTCTCACTATATTAATTTTCTATTACCTCTGTAACAAATTAGCACAAACAGTGGCTCAAAACAACACAAATTTATTATCTTACAGTTTTCTATTTCAGAAGTCTGACAAGGGTCTCACTGGGCTAAAATCAAGGTGTTGGCAGGACTGTTCCTTCCTGGAGGTCCTAGGGGAGAATCCGTTTCCGTGCCTTTTCCAGCTTCTAGTGGCCGCCTACATTCCTTGGCTTGTGTTCCGCTTCTATGTTCAAAGTCAGCAATCTCGTCCCTCCAATCTCTGCCTTCATCACATCTCCTTCTCCAACACTGACTGACCCTTCTGCCTCCCTCTCCCCCTTTTAAAGACACTCGTGATTACATCAGACCCACCTGAATAATTCAAGATAATCTCCCTATTTTAAGGCCATCTTATTAGCAACCTTAATTCTATCTGCAGCCTTAGTTCCCCTTTGCCATATAACATACATATTCTCAGGTTCTGGGTATTAAGAGATGCACAGCTTTAGGGGGATATTATTCTGCCTATCACACTTGCCTGCAATTAAACCAAAAGAAAATGAGAGAGAAAGAGGAAGAGATTTCATGCATGCATTATCTCATATAACACCAAAACTGGAGATCGATGCATACAGTAATGAAGTCATGAGTATTAAAATCCATCAACCAGTCAAGTTTCCATGTTGTACTTCAAGCCTCAGGGAACACAACTGACATAAAGATAGTACATATTGAGGCTCATACCTTAACTAATAGTTTAAAGATGTAAACCTATACCATAACCATCTGGGGGTCATCTTTTTATAGCGACAATAATAACAACGAACATTTACTGAGTACTTCCAATGTGCCAGACAAAGTGTTCAGTGTTCTCTATATGCATTTTCTGCACAACTACTCATTTTACAGATGAGGAGCGTGAGGCATGGGAGGTTCATAACTTACTAGGGTCACGTGGACGGTTTGTGTCAGAGCCAGAGTTCAAACCCAGGACTATGTGACTATAGACCCTGCACTTTTAACCATCATGCAAAACTGCCTTTTCCTTTTTTAACCAATAAACATTTTGCAAGAATTTATCCCCTAATTGACTTATCATGACATCAATGTTAAAGAAAAAGGGCAATTAGCTAGAATGATTCTGTCCTTCCAGCCAGTTTTGGCCACTCTCCCCTGATCTCTCTTCTAATTCTGGGAGAGAAAGGAGAGAACAAAGGGGGAGAGAAAAAGAGTCATAGTCCATGGGGGAAATGAGGAAGAGGGAGAGAGGGAAGAGAGAGAACAGGAGTGAGATCTAACAAAAGGTGTTTGGGAATGGCTTTCACCTGCTGAAAAGAAATAAGACAAATTCAAGCCTTCCTAGGGAAGAACTATAAGATTGGTTGGCCGTGCTCCACCCTACCTTAAACCCCAGTTATTATAATACAACGTAACATTCGGAATATTCTAGTAACTTCCTAAGAGTGAAAATAGTGTTCATCCTAAAATATAAATAAATGTAACACAGTAAGAATAAGAATAAAATATACCAAATAAAGAAATTGGGAATTATATTTGGGATATAATTTACATAAAAAACTGAGAATTTAAAAGGCACAAAAGATATTGAAATAAATTCTATAAATTTAGGGCATTCTATAAAAAATATGTAACTTCCCAACAAACTGTATCCAAAGCCAGAACATAGAGAGATATGGGCTTATTTTACCTGACCAAAATAGAGTATTCTAACACACACACAAACACACACAAAAAAAACTATTTTAATAATAGCAACACTGAGCACTTTTTATGTGCAATGCATGGATTATCTAGTATAATTCCCACAATAACTCCATCAATCAGAGGTGAGTATTAATCTCAGTTCAAAGGTGTGGAAATCGAGGCCTGAGGGGTTGGACAGCAGACAGCAGAATCAGAATTTGAACCTAGAGCTCATAACCAGAACATTCATCAGCATAAACTTAGACTGACCTTCATAAGGACTGTGTTTATAAAATGTGAACTCTTGCAGTTAATGTTTATCTTTGAATTCATCTGGAGACAGAAGTATGCCTTTTAGGTTAGGATTTTTTATCTAGCCCCTGTGACCTCTTCAAAATTTCACTGGTCTCCTCTCTCTCCAGAGCTGTGGGATCACAGCTGCAGGGTAGGCAAGGGTTGTTTACAATCGTGGTCACTCTCTGCCCTCATCTGCACACTGCAGTGTACAGATTACAAAGTTTAAGTGTGTACGTTATGTATCAATCACATAGCTCATGTTATGTGCGTTGCATACAGGTTACATAGTTCATGCAGGTACACTGCATAAGGATTACACAGCTCATGTATGTGCATTACACACAGATCACATAGCTCATATATGTATATTGCATGCCAATTACAAGGCTCACGTGTGTACATGACACGCTGATTTCATAGCTCATGTATGTATATTATATACAGATTACAAAGTTCATGTATGTACATTAACTCATTCACTCCCCACAATAGCCCTATTAATTACAGAGAAGATTATTAATTAGTCCCATTTTAATGATATGAAAATTGAGACCAGAGAGGTTAAGATCACTGAGGGGGTTAATAGCAGAGCAGGGACTTTAACACCCAGCCTAAAGCCCTTTCCACTAATCCTCACTGTCGCAAACACATAGAAAATTTACAGCATCATCAGTGTGACTTTTTGAAAAGGGAGGGCAGAATTCTTTGAAACTGGAAGCATAGAAAAAGCAATCATTCCTAACCAAAAGAAAAGAGAGAATGGGGAGAGAAAAAATCTAATTTTCCCAAACTAAAAGTCAAACCATGAATAGTAATTAATAAGCAAGAAAATAGGTAAGGAGAACCTCACCTACAAATACGGAAGGAGCAACCAAGAAATAAATCTGTGAAAATATTGTAAAGACACATGAAGTCACTGTAAACACATGGATGAAATATGAAGCCAGTGGTTACATAGGGGCTGGGCCCCATGGCACCTCTGCCATTGACTCACTGGACAACCTTAGGCAAATCTTTCTCCATTCACTGCTTTAATTCTTTCATCTATAAAAGAGAGTCCATCATGGTAGTTACTTGTCCATTAAACAAATTCAGAGCCTTGAACAAAAGAATACTTTAGCAAAATATACGATTACTTCCTGTCTAAAAGCGTACTGATTAGGATATGTATCAAACACGTACAGTCTAAGATAACATAATAACCACTATATTTATTATATAATCCTGTTGAATGGACGAATGCAGTATACACACGCTATGGATGCCATAAAAATCAATAAGAAACTGAATTTATTACGATATCTTCTTTTTCATGGCAGAAAACTAATTAAAGCTGTGCTACTCCTCTAACATCTCTGCATATTTCACTAAATCATTCTTCTACAAAAAATAACAAATAAACCACCGTCTCTCTTCCGGACAGGTGCAATAGTCTCCCAACTGATCCCCACACGTTTACTCTCTCGTTCATTCTCCACAAGGCTGCCAGGGTTATCTTTTTAAAATACAAACATGATCACAGCACAGCATTCCCCTGCTTAAAATCTTTCTGTGGTTTTCTGTGGCTCTTATGTTGAAGATCAAAATACTTAGCAGAGTTGAGAAAGCCGGGAATGCCCCAGAACCTATATGCATCACTAGTTTCATCTCATCCTACTTTCCCTCTTGCTCTCTACGCCCCAGTCACTTAGATTAGGTGTTCAGCAAATATTTCTTCAAGGAATGGATGAATGAATAGGTGAACAATACATTAAGGTTTTTTTTTAGTAGGAAGCAACATTTTGGTGAACCAAATAAAGAAATGGTTGAATTTCAGGCACCATCAACTGTCAAGTGGGGAGGAATCATAGTGTGCAAGGACCTTCCCACAGGCCTCCATACACTGAGCCTCACACAACGTGAACCACACTGGGCTAAAGGTGAAACCCACCAGGACAAGATTTCAGCAAATTGCACGAGATAATATCTCAGCAAACCAACACCAGTTACTCAAAAGTTCTCCTTAAATGGCAAAAGACAGTAACACCCAGTGAGCACTGAAGCTAATTTGCGGGTTAATTCAAGGATTATCAATGACAACAGCCTTTGCCTAAGGGATTTATTTGATTACCTATCATGTTCTTCGGATTAAGATGATAATAAGGAGGAAAAAGAAAAGTGAAATCATCTCAGTCTGTGTGAGCACTCCTCACCCACTAGTGGGGATGTTTTTCTTCTATAGTCTTAAATGAACAAAATCACCCCAACAGGCCTGGTGGTATGCCAGAGGTAGCGCAAAAGGACTTAAGCATTTCTCTAAAGCCAAGCTTAAGCCAGATTGTCCTGGCACTCCTTTCAAAGAAGGGATCTGGGTGGAACACCTCTTACCTTATCAGCAAGGTTTCGTGTCAGCTGCCAAAAGGAGGAGATGCACCTCCTCTTTTGAAGATGATAGTGATAAATGAGATTCAACTCCACTATCATGGGATGAGCTGGCCCATTCTTCCCAAACTTCACGCTAAGGTACCGAGTGACAAATATGTCACTCAAATGATGATGACTTCATTGCCACCAGGTGAAAAGGCCCTGACCACCGAGAAAATGAGGCTCTCTCTATTGGTGATAATGCTAAATTGTCGTGTCTCCCTGAGAAACTGGCAACTCTGAATTCAAGACATAAGTGAGTAAAGATCAGTAACTGCTCCTAAGCACCCCAGAACAGACCCTAACATAACAAGTTGTGCCATTTGGCAGAGTACTGAATTTGCTAAAAACAAAACAACCCCCCATACCCATAGACTGAAGGATCCTTGAAGGCAGGAGCCGTGTCTTATTAGTCTCTCTAGTCACAGAATCAGAGCACCTCTAAAGTAAACTCTCAATAAAATAAATAATTAAGTGAATTAAATTAGAGGATTTTAACCCTAATTATTTGTGGCTATGGATTTTAACTGACAACGGAATCAGAGACAAAATGTACAGTTTGGGGGTAGGAGAAAAAAATAATAGAAACATTTTAAACACAGCAGGCCACTTGTAAATGAACAGGTGCGTGAATCAACATCCCACGACTGCAAAACTTTTAGTGAACGTAAAGCATCATCTCTATGGCTTTAAAAAAATAATAGAGAGATTAGGGAGCTCCACAACAATGTAATGGAATCCTAATGCCAGTCCTAGCTCTGCTATCAACCAGCCATGGGCCCTTGCCAGAAAGAATTCCCTTCTTTTGTTTCTTGTCTGTAAAATGATGGGTATGAGACAGATGGTAAATATGGTTCTTTGAAAGTCCAACATTATGTTCCCATAAAACACGAAAATCCTAAACACTTTATTGGTAACGATAGGCCAGTAGAGAGAAGGAAACTTTAAAGTTTTACATCATTGGGTCCTAACTTTTTCTATTTACATACTTTGAAAAGTTAATGAAAGCTGTAACCTCTCTCTCAGAAGAGTGAACATATCAACATGCAAAGAAAATTTTGCATAGTTTTAGAGATTTTACTAACTTCCTGAAGTCTAGCCACTGAATTCCAAGTTTAAAACCCCAGCTTACATGGAAGCCCTGTCTTGTTTTTCAGTTGGGAAATTTTCCCAATGGATACAGAAGCTCCAAGACTTTAGCATCAATGGTCAAGGCCAATATAAGACATTCTGTTACAGCACTAACAACAGGAAGTACAAAACACTCTCTATGAAGTGTTCTTGCCCAGAATGTCAAACTTGAATCTAAAAAAGCCTTTAGATCTAACTACTACCTTACAAGAAATACAGGGGTCAGAGGACCATGTTAAAAATACCACAGAGATGCAATCAGCAAAATCCGGAATTTGGGAAGCTCTACAAGATTTGTCTTTGCTTCCCAGCCATTCTTTCTAACTCTGCTACCTGGGACCTCTTGCTCCTTCCCAACCATAAGAATCCCTTAAATATCCATTCCGTTGGAGAGCTTATCTTTTTTAACTACACCTGCCCACAATCATCTTTCCTTTTTTTCTCATTTCTATCTCACTTAGTCTATTCCACACAATCCCCTACTGCTTTATATTCTTCCCAAGCACAAGGATAATAAACATTGATGGAGGGCCTGCCATAGCCCTCTGTAAACTGGAAGTGTTGAGGAATTAAAGATGTCGGCCATAGCCTGGGCCTTTAAGCTTCCTTACAATTAAGTGCTGGGATAACTAGGCAGTGGCTTGACATGTAATATGTGCAGCCAACATGGCTTCACTTTTTATATGTTTCAAATTGCTCAGAGACATGCTAATACAGATTAGGATCTTAATAAATACTTGCTGACTTAGATTTCTGTCAATACAGATCTTATTTAATTGAAATGTGCTTTTTGTTTCTTTAATCTGATATCTTCTCTTCTTCAAATTTCCTAACTCTTCTCTGAAGGCCCCAAATGCCATTCGTTTGTGGTCACTTACAAGGCTCTGTCTACCTCTGCATCCTTATCTAATTCTCACCTGCTTTAAAAAAATCAGACGAAGAAGGGTTTCTGACACAGTTGTCTCATTACCTACCATTTGAGAAAACTTCCTTCTGTGATCTTAAAACTCTTTTTGCCTCTGTCTGTTTTTTATTATTTTTCCTTGTATTTCAGTCCATATATACAGATACTATTTGGAAGCAACTTTACATTGGCTTACCTTCCCCTCCTAGTCTGAAATACTATATTGGATACTTCTAATTTAAACCGTCTATCTGTTGGCCCCTTTTTCCTGAAAAAATAAAAATATGAGAAAATTTTATTTTTATTTGGCCACAGTTTGATAAACTTAGGCACTTACAAAATGTCTGACGTGATGGCATTGCAGAAGTTGTGTTTTATTTCTGTAAATGTCTAATCATTCTATGTATCCCTCCAAATCACAGGATAATGACATAGCAATTTTACCTGAAGATCTACCACTCATCTGTTCTGAAATGTCATACATAGTAAAAATCTATTTGGGGATTGTTTTGGCTATTCTTCTCTCATTATAAAGAAGAAGGCGCCTATAGAATACTTCAGTGATGGAATTATTGTCTTTTTTGAAAGGCACGAACACACTGTGCTCCCAGTTAACGACAGCTAACTGTTGACAGGGCTCCCTTCTGATCCCTGATACACCCACATGCTACCCCGTTGATTTATTCACCACCCAACCTCTCCCGCAAAATACCCGTTCCCTTTTGATGACGACATCTCAGTTTATTAGAAAGATGAACTAATGTGAAAATTACAAATCTTTTAGGTGGAAAGTCATGCAAAGAAGAATAATTTATATTCTGAACTATTCGAACTTAACAGAAATAAAAAAAGGCATGAAACCATATCACAGGTGAAATGCTCATTGACCAAAAGGATGAGTAAACGTTGGACATCTGTTGAGAATGCAATTGATCCTTTATCCCTTGAGTTCTTTAAAAATAGTTTAAAACTAAGCTCAGCAATTGCAGTTGATCTACCTAAAGACAGAAAGCTGAAAGAAATGACTCGTTGTTGGCCTTCCCAGTTCTGTGATTCCTCAAACATAGGCATTTACAGGTCATTTTACTGCCTTTAAAAATTGTAAAATTCAAAGAATATGATGAAAGTGTAAAAATCCTGTAGAAAACACGTAACTAAAGTGAATTCATTTTAGTTTGTCAACTAAATTTTTAATTAACTTAATTCTTCTAAAATAGAATAAACTGTATGAGCTCATTTTTCTAAAATTATTTTAGCCATCCATATGTCTACCAATATATACAGAAAGACAGTATCTAAAATAATGTTCACCATATTTTACCAATGGTTGTCTGTATGGTGGAATTAGGCAGTTTTTTAAAATCTTTTTTCTTATACTTTTATGTATTACTTGAATGTGATTACTTGAATTTTTTATGATAAGTATATATCATTTTTACCAAATAAATAAATAAATAAACACCATTTCTTTTAAATTCTAGTGGAACTCCACACATTGGAAGTTATGAGGAAAATCATTGTACAACAGTTCTAGAAGAGACTACTTCTGCCCAGTCCTCTCCAATCTCACCACCAATTTTTCCCTGCCCTGGTCCTGCTATCATACAAGAAATATTTTGCTGGAGGTTAACTCCTATAAATCCAAACTCCCACATACTGATGTAAAATGATGCATGGGCTAAATTTACAGGGCTAATAAGTCACTGCCACTCAGACACGCCTGAAATGTGCAGGGAAATAATTGATTCCATTGCAGATTATTGCGAGAGAGTTTAGGGAAATGGAGCGCAGCCTGGCTCTCACATGTCCTAGAGATGGATGATCTCATTTGTGAGGTTGGGTCCATGTGAACACGAACCAGAGCTAACCCTAAACTTGAGTCGAAACAAAAGATCAGGAACTGTCCACGTCCATCAGAACACTGCTTGCCACCACGAGTCTGAACAAGTCTCTCTGTTTCCCTCATTTACTCTATTTTTATCTTGACTCCCTTTTGTCTTTCTCTCATGTTCAGAGATGTAAGTGACCGTAGAACACTTTAAAAGGGAACTCCCTCTAAACAGCTTCAAGGCTTCCTTTAGTCTTGACTAAATTTTTCCGTCTTGCACACAGTGAGATGAAAAGTCCAGAGGACTTCTGCAAGATTTTGTTGCCAGGACGGACAAGCAGAGCCAGTGTACTTTAGGTGACTTTATTTGTAATTAGGAATGATTTTGCCTTTGGGGCTGGCTAGTTCACCCCTGGAAGAGGCTTTTTTCTACTCTGGTTTTATAGCTCACACTCCTAAAAGGGGCAGGAGGTAACGGTGTCAGAGGACCTGAGTTAAAATCCTGACTCTAAAAAGTTCATCACTGAGTTAACACACATTTATGAAATGACTATAAGAAGCCAGACTTTGGTGCCTCAAAGATAGAAGACACAATCCCTGCTTTCAAGAAGCCAGCAGTCCCAGAGGAGTGTGACAAAGACAGTATAATGTGGTGAGTGAAGGAATACGGATGGACTCAGGTCCAGGAGGGGGCTGGGCCCTGCTGGGGGCTCCCAGCTTCCACAGTGGGGCAGGGATACCATGCTGTCTGCCCTCTGGAGGATCTTGGGCTCCAGAAGAGGACTTTCCTCATAGAAAGGCCTCTCCAAGCGGTGGAAACAGCACAGACCAAGGCCGTGACACCTACAAAATTCGCATGTTGAATTACACTGCGTATGCAGATCAGCTCTGAACCATTCACCTCCTTGAGCTGCTGGTTCTTCATCTGTAAAATGCGGACAATAACCCTTGCCTGGCTACATCAAGAGTTGTTATGCGGATTAGATAAAGAACATCTAAGGGCTATGTAAACTGGGAAGTCCCATTATCACCATTATGAAAGAGCAGTGTTGCACAGGACTCCAGCAAGATTCAGCTCAATGATAACAGTGGTCTGTGGCAGAAAGAATCCTGCCCTGGCTTTGCCACTAACCCACCACCTGTCCTCTGCCATACCCCACCACCCACGGACCTCAGTTTTCTTCATCTGTAAAGTTAATGACTTGAACCGAGGAACGCTCGAGTCCCTTCCGATGCTCTTTTATTTCTAAGTCCCCTTTAAATCTCATTGCCAGTAACCAGCACGCGGCTCCCCGCCCCCAGACTATTTCTTTATTCATTCCTAACCTTTACCTTGGCAGACGAAGCATAAGATTCATCAAGCACGTTAGACAACCCGTGGCACATTTCCTGTTTTCCTCCGTCTGCTCTGCAGGTCACAGACACACAGAACCCAACCTATCCAGGGCTCAGCAGGGACAGGGCTGCTGGCCACTCAACAAAGGCTGCATTCCTCCCAGGGCTACGGGAAGGCCCAAGCACAGGCCGGGGTTGTTTGGTTTTGAGGTGTGCTGGGGATGAAAGTCACCCTGGAAATGGAAGGCTCGGTCATTCATTCATTAATTATAATTGAAAGTTTGTTCTTAAGAACGTTTCCTTTGAAATTACTTTCTATCAGACAGCGACGGCCACAAAGGCCTCAGATACTCAGAACATTCCCAATTCCTCAGCACGAGCATTTTTATTCCAGGATCAGAGATTCTGTTCTGATCTGGCTCTTCCCTTGTGACTGTCTCCCACCCTCACTTTAGAGCTGGGGTTTGTTTATTTGGGGTGTGTGTATGTGTGTCTGTGTGTTTCATGTCTCCTTTTTAAAAGGAAATGTATACTGCACCAAATAACCTTTTTGTAGACTTTAATCTGTCCCTTTTCAGATAAATGAACAATGGAAAAACTCCGCGGAAAGATTAGAAAGACACCTGAGACTAACACCCACCTAACGCTGTGGGCCACACCTCGGGGTTACAAATGGAAGGGAGAAGCAAACTGATACATTGATGTGGCTCTAAACAACAACAACGTTTGTGAAGGCCCAGGGGCGCTCGGGATTGACCAAGAGGAAACACATGTTGCACAACGATACAATCTTGTTGGTACAGTTGTCAGAGAAGGGAACTCCCACAGCGAAGGGCATAAAACCATCCGGGGCAGTCTGGGGCAGCTCAGTTCTGCGGCGCCAAGGAGCAGAGCAGAGCCCAGCCCTGCCCCAAACACAGATGGGACCATGAACTCCAGCCACAGCTTCAGCCAGAACCCCTCAGCCTCCCTCCATGGCACCAGAGGCAGCTGGGGCTGGCCGGGGAGCTTCCCTCGGGCTCCCAGTGTCCACAGAGGAGCGGGCGGTGTCCGCATCTCCCTCTCCTTCACCTCGCCAGGCTGCCCACCCCCTGGAGGGTCTTGGGGGTCTGGAAGAAGCAGTTCCCTCCTAGGTGGAAATGGGAAGGAGACGATGCAGAACCTCAATAACCGCCTGGCCTCCTACCTGGACAAGGTGCGTGCCCTGGAGGAGGCCAACGTGAAGCTTGAAAGTCATATCCTGAAGTGGCATCAGCAGAGAGATGCCAGTGGTAAGCAAGATTACTCCCAATATGAGGAAAACATCAGCCGCCTGCAGGAGCAGGTAAGATCCTGGGTGACCCTGGAACTCGAAAGGGTGCTGCATTTCTAGGGAACCCATGGGAGGAGAAATCAGTACAAAAGACAATTTCCAGGACAATGGCAAAAGAGCTTAAAGCAATTGTGAACAGAAGTATTCAAGGATATTTTCTTATTATGCCTTAAATTTGGACTTGGGAAAGTCTGTTTTGTATATTTATTTTTCTGTACATAAATTATGTAGAAAACCTTAAAAATGTAAGGCCACCAGCTGCTGTCCAGTATCATTTATGATCCAACCATTAAACAGTAATGATAAGGGCCGGTATTCATTTCACATGCACAGTGCACAAGGCACAAGAGAGCATTTACTCCTCATGACATCAGTTCTGCTCCACCTCAAAATCCTAGCAATAGTGTGATTATCCACCAAAAAAAGCTGAGTTATACTGTCTTGGAGATCACACCTAAAAGATGTCACTCCAGTAGCAGATACATCATTGTGACATCCCTGGTTATTTCCTCTTGGGGGCTTATAGAAGTTCTTAGTTGTAGCTGCTCACAGTTTTGAAAATGGCATATTGCTAGAAAAAAAATAAAATGAGAATAACTTTTGGAATCTTAGAGTTAGGATTGGGTTATGGAGTCTTCTTCAAAAAATAAGTAACTTTTTAACCAAACATTAAAAAAATTAAATTTATACCTTCTGGGATGTGTCATAACATTGGCTAGAAGCAGAAGGAATTCGGCCATTTCATATTTTATTTTTTAAAGGTACACAACTTCCTTCTTATGTAAAGTGGCCCCAGAAAACTCCTTGTAAGATCATGATTTAACCCATCCTAGAAAGGGCATCACAGATTTCCAATATTTATGCGGTATTATTTCTCAACACTCAGTCGTCCTTGTATGGATGTTGGAAGGACAAATCAAGATAATAAAAATCTGTCCTCATAATGAACCCTAATTATTGAATAATCAACCTAATAACTGCATAATTACCTTAACTATATAGTACATGGTTGTCTTTACGAAAAAACAAGGTGACTCAACAAACTTCACCATTTTTTTTCATTAATAAAGTTGCTTTGGTTTTAGAATGGAGAGAATAGAAGATTTTTGCAAATGGACAGCTGAGAACATAACTTCCAAAGGAAATGTGAGATTAGACCTGGTCAAATAATTCACTAGCTGACAGCAGAGAGAAGGAGGGAAAGGGGGAAAAGGGAGGGAAACATTTATTGAGCACTTATTGTACACCAGGCATCATGTTAGGTATTTAATACACATATCAGCACTGTCCAAGAGCTTTCTGCAATGATGGAAACGTTCTATATCATCTAGTTTAATTCTCACAACAACTCTAGAAAGAAACTAAAGCTCAGAAAAGTGAAATAGCCATCCAAAGCCACCAGGAAGAGGCAGAGGTGGGATTCTAACCCCGGTCTGTTTCCAATGGCCTTATAATTTCCATACAGCACGGTGCTGACTAGCCTACCTCATACAAAAATGATACTGTTTATTAATAAAGATAATGCAATACATTTGCATTGTTAATCATACAAGCATACAATACATATTTCACACGTATTATCTCATTCTGTGAAGCAGGCATTTTTATCCCCAACTTATAGGTGAGGAGACTGAGACCAAGTGGTTGCCTAAATTCTTTGGAGCAGGATTGAGAAAAGTGAGTGGGGGCAATGACAAGGAGCCACTCTCCAGGTGGCCGGGGATTCTGGGTTCTGACACTAAATAGGAAGCTTCTTCAGTTTCAGATTCCACTCTTCTCTGGATTTCTTACTTCAGTTGTATTTTCTCCATTTGTAAAGAAAACAACTCTTTGAAATGGAGTTTGTCTATCTATGCCAACCTCGCCTGCTTGCAGGTGAGAAAACAGAGGCCCAAAGAGGTCCCACAACCACTCAGGGCTGACCCCTGCCCGGGCCTTGATGAAACGTTCTGAGTAGACACAGCACTCTCCCACCTCCAGTCTAGGGATATTAAATGTTACTCAAAAAGTCTACAAGAAATTGAGCTCAAAAATTAATCCTATCTTTTTGAAACACATCGTTGGACATAGTCATAGGGATATTAGAATCTTAGAATAGCTCACAATAGTAACATATTTGGCATTTTGGTTTACGGTCAAAAATTCTATTTTCCTCTCCCCAGTATGAGATTACACACCCTGGAGCAACAATGCGGCACTAATATACCAACTAGTTTCTTTTAAAAGAATGAACTCAAGGCCTTGGGGAGAATCCAGGTGATTAATTAGAACATACAAGGCAAAGCCTATGCCTCATATATTGTTTCTCAGTCCACCCTCATCCATTCATTACCGTGAAGGATGTCTCAGAAATAGTCACTGTGTCATCACATGGTATCAGGAAAATCGAACAGTGGAAATAGTTTCGGTTTTTAAATGTGCTCCTATATCAAGTGCATTTCAGAACTCAGCACTCGTGTACTATGAGAATGCTGGCTGGGGGAATCAGACTCTTAAGGTGGGCTTTGCAATGGATAAATTACCAATTTAACTCAGAAAAGCCAAATAACCCCACAGATGGTGTTATTGATTTTCTGATTCCGTGGGGCATCTAGTGCATGGTTTCTCTGGATGTCAATCAACACCTCGGTGCACAACTAAAGCTAACCCCAGGGGTCCCCAGGTCTTTTTGGAGGGAGCTACTTTTCATTTCCCATGAGCATAGATAATACAAAGAATAAAGAGCCTGGAGAGAAAAGCATTGGTAAGAAAGTCCCTAAGCAGCACTGTGGAGGGGAGACAAGGAAATACCTACAGAATCCTTTTTTAGAGCAAAGGAAGTAGTCACAGTACTATTTGGAATCCACCAAGGGAAGAAAGAAGTTGGGCAGGGGCAGCCAGCCTGGACATCTTTCACCACGAACAGCACAAGCTTGAGAATGCATTTCAACATATAAAACCTGAGGTTTATCCAACACAGACATTGGCTCTAATTAAAAAAGTGCTAGATTTTTAAAAAGAAAATTAAACAATTTAGATTTTTCTGAACTCATTTAATTTCAACTAATTTTTCAGAGTGTCTACAGTATGCCCAGAATATGCTAAGTATTTTACAACATTATTTTATTTAATATCTTCTAATCAAATTCTCACAACTCTTTGATGAAGCGGCTATTATTATTGCCTTTTTATGGATGAAGAACCAAGACTCGGCAAGCACACTCAGCGGGGTGCTGGGGCAGGATCCCAGGCCCTGCTCTTTGAGTTCCAGACCCAGTGTTCTTACCACCTCTGAATCCTGCCATTGTGCATTCATGACACCAAATTCCAAGTAATCAGTGGAGCTTTGAATAGGACCAGATTTTTAAAAGGTGCCTTTGTATTGAGGTATAACTTTGTCCTAAAAACTCCTTTCTAAATAAAGGAATTGTCTGTATACACACAATGGGACTGTCACAGGATTCTCTGGTTCAACTAAGTTACAGAAGTTTGGAACTAGGACCTCTAATGTCACCTGTTTCTAGTGCAAACTACTTATTTAACAGATAATGAAATTGAAGCCCAGGGAGTGGAGTGGCTGGCCCAAGTTCATGCTGTTGGTCAGTAACAAGAAGTAAAAGGAAAATCTCCCAGCTCCTAGTTCAGCACAATGCGTGATATAAAAGTAGTATTATACCTTTGACATTGAGATATCTTCCATCCAATTTTCCTAAAGACAGTGACATACATCAAAGGTGCACCATTTCTCTGATTACAACCACCTAGACCTATTTACAAATCATATATGTATACACAATTGCTCAGGGAGACACTTCCAACAACATTTTTCTTTTTAAAGTAAAAAAAAAAAGTATATAAATATCCAGTGAAAGTCTTTAACAGGAGGCTTTAACACAGAGTTTATTAAGCTGCTTCATTCAATGGGAAAGAATTATTTCAGTGAACATTTTAATAGCTACAATGGGGCATTCTCATCACAGAATACATTACAAACACATACACAACATACCTACAAGTTATGTGTAGCCAGAAAAAAGAGTCGTCTATGCTGACAGGTCATATACCAGGAGACTAGAGGGCAGAAATGCAGCTCTCCTGTATGAGTGTGTCCGACTGAAATGACTCTCGGTGCGTGTTTTACAGATAGTGGGCGGTCAGCTGAACAATGCTCAGATCATTCTCCTCATCGACAACGCCAGGACGGCAGTGGACGCCTTCAGCCTCAAGTAAGTTCCTTCTTGACTGTGTTGTGGGGGTTTTTTGTTTGGTGGTTTTGTCTTGTTTTGAGGGTTGCTCTTGTTTTTGTTTTGCAAAAGGGAAACATCTCACCATTACTCACATATAAAATCTTACTAAAATACAATTAAAAGGTATAACAAGAACAAATACTTGTCTTAACCCTGGTTTAAACAAACCAGATATAAAATATATTTTTTGGTATGGGAAAATTTGAATATGAACCAAGAATTAGATGATATTGAAGAGTTATCATTAATTTTTTAGGTGTGATAATGTTATTATGCTTATTTAGAAAAACATATTATTCTTAAAAAATGCATTCTGAAGTATTTAGGGGTGAAATGTCATAATGTCAATAATCGACTTCAAAATACAAAATAGAATATAGATAAGGCAAATATGGCAAAACGTGAATGGTTGCTAAATCTAAGTGCTGGGCATATGATGTTTATTATTTTATTCTCTCTAATTAAAAAAAAATAACATTGAATCATCATCACAGAAAAACACGCATGAAATAGACATACAGAGGATGCACAGCATGTATTCAGTTGCTCCCAATAAACCTAAAAAGTAAGAGAGTCATTTCTAGACTAAGCTAAATCCTTACAAAGACCATAGCATTCTACCAACAGGTGTGCTCTTCCCTTCCTTCTAACCAAAGGTATGAAAATGAACACTCTTTCAAGAAAGACTTGGAAACTGAAGTTGAGGGTCTCCGAAAGACCTTGGATGATCTGACCATTGTCATAACAGACCTGGAACAGGAGGTTGAGGGAATGAGGAAAGAGCTCATCCTCATGAAGAAGCGCCATGAGCAGGTAGGACTCCCCACGAGCTCCTGATAACTGGCACAGTTCTCAATCTGCAAATTTCAGGTGATTCAATAGCTACACAAGAAACCACCAACTGAAGGCCAGCCCTATTGTCCTTCCACCTAAATAATCATAAAGAACCCATGTAAATATCTAATTTTTCCAACTTCAAGGTTATCTACTCAATAACAACAGCCAAAATACAATCACAATTAATGACGAATTGGACAACAATTTTGTTAACACACAATATTTACCTAGACTTGTTTATTAATATAATAGTGTAAGAATAAATGTGTGAGATTGAACCTCCTCCATTGACCCAATGTGCAGCAAATTGGGGGACAATAGAATAAAGAGAATCTGCCACTGGCCAAGGTAAATATGACTAGTGGCAAAACTAAGAATCCTAATTTCCAGAAGCATTTAACTGACTTTTAAAAAGTTACTATCCATCTAAAGTCCCTGAGACTCTAATAAAATGATAGAAATGCAATCCCCATTTTAGGCAAACAAAATTGCTTATGAACATCAAAGAGCCTCAGTTTCTGAACAGCTGGTCAGGCAGTGATTGTTCATTAAAACTTTCCTTGGGTTTCTTGGTTTTTATATCCTATGGGTGTCAGCCCTACAGAGTCATAATGCATTGACGAGATTTTAAAAGCCTCTACACCTTTTGGCTTTGGGTTACTGAGCTGCTTCCCAAAAGCTTTGGTCTAGAATCTGAAAAGTTCAACTGCTTAAATGTGTCAATTCACCCACAAATATTTGCTGAAGAGTACTTTATACACTGTGTAAGCATAATTCTTTCTGAAACGTTTTCAACCAAGGATTAAGCCAGTAATCACAGAGGCCATTTGATACCTGTCTGATACTATCTTTATTTTATAAAAGTATAAGAGAAAAAAAAGCATACAATGTTTTGTCATCAGCAAGTAATAACTGAGAAACCAAACCAAATCAGTGAAAGAGTAGTAACCACATAAGCTGAATTTCTAAAAGATGCCTTAACTGCTGCCCATCAACACACTTTCAGCCTTCTGATTGTCACAGCTGATTCATTTTCTTTCTCCATTATTCAACAGGAAATAGAGGAACATCATGTGCCAAACGACTTCAAGGTCAATGTGAAGGTGGATACAACCCCAGGGGAAGATCTGATTAAGGTCTTGGAGGATATGAGGCAGGAATATGAGTCTATAATAAAGAAGAAGCATCAAGATTTGGACACCTGGTATAAAGAGCAGGTAAAAGAAAGGTGCCCAGACTCCCCAAAGGTTCCATTTCCATGTGGTCCAATGCCAATGCCTCTGCCCTTTGCTTGGTCTCACAGTCAGCGGCAACGGCCCAGGAGGTGGCCAGTCCAACAGTTGTACAGAGCAGCCAAAGTGACACCCATGAACTGAAGCGTACTTTCCAGGCCCTGGAGATTGACCTGCAGGCGCAGTGCAACAGGGTGAGTCTGAGCTTGGAAAATCCTGGATGGGTACCGCCTCCTCCGCAAAGCTTTCCTTGACCTCTCTTTTGCGCCCATCTCCCCAAATCCCTTGGGACATCTCTCACTTCCCACTTTCCATCCAAATTGTGATGAGAATGATAATAAGAGCTATCATTTATTGAGTATCCACGTTGTGTCAGATGGTATGTTAGGGAGTTCATTGTATTAAATGTCATCAATCCTCACATTAACCTTTCCAGGTAGGTCTTATTGTTCTGATTTTAGAGATAAGGAAACCAAATCTCCAGACAGTTAAGTAAATAGGCCCAAGGTCACACAGCTAGTAAATCGTCAGTGGGGCGAAGCCATGTGGTGTTTTGGGGGTGGGGCAGCCCTAGACTCCCATAATCTCGACCAGGGTTCTCCCCACTTACAACCAGGCTGTCCCCCCAAACCCCAATAAAAAGAAATTCTGGTGCCAACATGAGTCGGTGGCAAATCCAGGCCTGCCTGATTCCAATCATTGTGTATGTGTCTTATCACCTAGTAAACTATAAATTCTTGAGTCTAAGTCATTTCTATAATCTTCATGGTTTTTGGTAAATTGCTTTGTGAAATATCTTAAGCATTCAAAATTCATTAAATAAAATCTATCCTTTGAGTCCTTTTGTAGCCTATCTGAATCTTCTAATCATCATCAATATCATTCCCCAGTGCTACTCCGCCCTCAGTCTTAAGGAGAAATAATTAGTTCATTTTATTGTAGGTGCACGTGATAAATTACTGCTATGTTGTAGGAATCAGTGATGGTGAACAGACATTTAAAACGTGCACTGTCACAGTGATAATAATGAGCACAGAAATAATTACAGTGTTTTATAGCTTTCAAAACATTTTAACATACAGTATTTCACAACAACCCTGTGAGGTCAATAGGGCATTTATATCCATTTTCATGCATTCTACTATCTGACACTATTCTAAGCACTGAGGATTTGACAGTAAAGGAGTTTTTGTTCTAGTGGGGATGACAGATAATAAATGCACAAATCATCAAAATACATAATATGTCAGATGGAGAAAAGTGCTACAAAGGAATGAAGCATGGGAGGAAGGTAAGGTGCGGCTGGGTGAAGAGCTGCCGTTTTGAACAAGGCGGTCAGGAAAAGTTTTACTGTTAAGGTGACAGTTGAGCAAAAACCTAAAAGTGGTAAGGAGGTGCATTATGTGGCTATGGCGGGGGGGTGGGTCCGGGTGGAAGGAACAGCAAATGCAAAAGCTATGAGGCACAAGTGTGTCCAGTGGGTTGGAGAAATAGCAGGGAAGCCAATGTGGCTGCAGTGGGTGAACAAAGAGAAGGAGAAAGGAGAGAAGGGGCGGGAAGGGGAGGAGGCAGGAAGGAAGAGGTGGAGAGGCCATGGGGTAACGACGGAGCCAGACTGTGTAGCCTTGAACCTTAGAGGGAGGTTAAGAGGAATTTTTTTTTTTTTTTTTTGTGAGGGAGATCAGCCCTGAGCTAACATCCATGCCAATCCTCCTCTTTTTGCTGAGGAAGACCGGCTCTGAGCTAACATCTATTGCCAATCCTCCTCCTTTTTTTTTTCCCCAAAGCCCCAGTAGATAGTTGTGTGTCATAGCTGCACATCCTTCTAGTTGCTGTATGTGGGACACGGCCTCAGCATGGCCGGAGAGGCGGTGCGTCGGTGCGCACCGGGGATCTGAACCCCGGGCCGTCAGTAGCAGAGCACGCGCACTTAACTGCTAAGCCACCGGGCCGGCCCAAGAGAAATTTGAAATAGCAGGTATAGATAACATTTTGAGGAATTTTGCCGTAGGTGAAAGAGATCAGAGAAACTGGATGACAGCTATAGGTAGATATAGTTTCAAGAGAGAAAAATTTTGATGTGGGAGAAATTATTCTATTTGAAAGCTGGTGGGAATAATCTAGTAGAGAGGAGAACACTGATGATGCAAGAAGGTAGGCAACTGCTGAGATGACTGGAGCACAGACAGCTCATGCCTGGTAACAGGAGAAAACGAGTATCTGGGCACAGATTCAAGCACGTGGGTGGGAGTAACGGTGGGAGCTGGTGGGAGTCCTCTCCTGATGGCTTTCATCTTCTCAATGATGTAGGAAGCAAGGCCATGGGCTGAGCGAAAGGATGAGGAGGAGGGAGGTTTGAAGACAGAGGAGAAGGAATGAAATAGCGCTCTGGGAGAATAAGAGAGTGACTAGACCAGGGACATGTGGTTTAATGGGCAGGCAGCATTAAGGGCCCCCTGAAAGTCAGCAGCCACGATAAAATGAGAGTATCCAGCTCAGTTATGAGTTTCTCTTTAAGATTCAAATTGGGTGCTCCAGGAAAGCAAGTGGCAAATCCAAACAGAACGGGAACTTGAACTCGCTTCTCTGTATCCTAGCCCAGCAACTGCATTTTGCAGCTTTTAGAATTTCCTCAAAAATGACAATTTGTTACCATGGCCATAATCAAAAAAGCATTGCTTGAGACTTGGGTTGCCAGATTAACCAAATTAAAATATAGAACACCCAGTTAAATTTGAATTTCAGATAAACAACAAAGTTTTTTTGGTATAAGTATGTGTCATGCAATACTGGGGCAATATTTGTACTAAAAAAATTACTCGTTCATCTGAAACTCAAGTTTAACTAAGTGCCCTCTATTTTATCTGGCATCCCTCCTCGAGATCCTTCTGTGAAGATACAAAGAGACAGCCATCCCAGTTGCTATTTCCCTCTAGGAGTTTTCAATCCAGCCAGAGACAGAATGTAAGCACAAAGAGGTAAGGAACAGATCAGGGCAAGGCGGCATGTGCCCAACCCCAACCGAGTAGCGTAAACAATAAACACTCCAGGAGCGCAGCGAAGTTGCCAAGAGCTCCCCGACACAAAGTTTTTATACCCAGAAAATGGGCTTCCTAAGTCCTCACACTGCTCAACTCCTCACTGCCCCAGCCCCAAACCTGTAAGTCAGCCTGCTTCTCATCTTTGCATCCCGAGCAGCCACCAAGACATCTAGCAGAGTGGTCAGTGTATTCTAACTACTCAACAAGCACGTGCTATGGAATCAATCAAGCCACCAGTCAATTAAGGGAAGAAATATCACTTCCTCTTTCAGAAATCTGCTTTAGAAAACATGTTATCGGAGACCCAGTCTCGGTACTCCTGCCAGCTCCAGGACATGCAACAGATCATCTCCCACTATGAGGAGGAATTGAAGCAGCTACGCCATGACCTGGAGCATCAGAACAACGAATACGAGGTCCTCCTGGGCATCAAAACCCACCTAGAGAAGGAAATCGCCACCTACCGCCAGCTCCTGGAGGGAGAGAGTGAAGGGTAAGGCAGAGGCTGGCAGGGGAGAGGAGGACACGTAGGGCACCCAGCTTGTGTGTGTGTTCGTGTACCTTAGGGTACTACTAGTGATCGTCACTCTAGAGAAAGAGAGGTTTACGCTAAATTTCTCCTGAAGATACTTAGCTCAGGTTCTATTTCATTAAGCAGCAAGTGTGAATTAATCAGCTCTTACTCCCAGGACAGAGATTTGAGGTCAACAGTTAAAATTAATATATTAAAATCTCTAGAAAGAAACAACTAAGAAGGTTTGGCTGTAGTGTTTCCCAGTGGGAATGCACACAATTTGGGCTCCACAAAAAAGGAAGGTTTGGTAAATATTTTAGCCCAAGAGCAGGAAAAGATTCAGAGAGATTGAGATGTCTAGATTTTCAATCTGGTATTTCTGACCATCTTGGCAAACGACAATGGCTGTCCACAAAAAGGGCACATACATTCTACGACCCAAGACAAAGGTTTAGAAGATCTTTAAAAATACATAAATAAAATGTTATCGGACCAAACTTTGAACAGGCTGAACAGCCCAGGGGTTCCAGGCTTCAGACCCAGGATCCTGAAAAGGATCCTGGTGGAGGCAAAGCCTGCAGCCAGCTGAAAGGATAGAGGTGGTTTGGTAGACTTTCCCTGACCCCAGGGTCGGTGGGAAGCATTATTAACCGGCTTCTGGATCCAGGAGGGTTCTCCCATGACCTCCTGACCTTGAGACTACACAGCTCAGACAATTATCCTCATTAAAGATCCACAAATTTACAAGCAGGCAAAGGAAGTTAGTTCATCTTGAGAAGTTTTTATGATTGTTGCTAATACTAAAACGAGCTTTAACCTTTATCCCTTTTATAGGACAATGGAGGAATCTAAGTCAAGTGTGAAAGGTAAAAAAATTTCTTTAATTGTTTAAATCTACTTTATACAAATGAAATCAGCACGTTTATCCATTCTGTAGTATTCGTAATCCTTAGTGTACTCCCAAATTTCCTGTGTTCAATTTTTATTTCACTCCCAAACGGCCAGGAATTTTGAATTAACAAATTAGATAACACGGAACAAAGCGAGCTCTCAATATTGTCCTCAACAATATATCTGAAAGCTCTTTGCAAGCAGTGAAGTGAATGAAAATAATCATTAATATTATTCTATCTCTATTAAGTAATGGAGTCTGTTTACTAAACTCCTAGAAAATTAAAAGGAAATGATTTCACTAATCTCCCAAACTATATTCTGTTGTACACTAGTGTTCCATGAGATTTGAAACGTGTATTTTTGTGCTCTATGGCCAGATATGGTTGGGAATACTATGTGCCATTATCCTCTTCGTGAAGAGTCATGTTGTGTGTCAGTAACTTCAAGATGGAACAAGTACTGCTGTGGGGGGAGAAAGGAACATTTTACTTTGTGTAACCCAGTGCTCCCAAATATCTTTGATCTGGGAACTCTATTTTCTCAGATTACCTTTAACATCTCACAGAAAAGTTCCAAGAAACCACAGTCTGGGACAAGTGGTACTTTCTGTTAATTTACAAGTGGTAAAAATGTTCTAAGGCATTAGAGATTCAGAGAATCAGAGTTTGAGAAACCATCACAGAACAGCTGATCTAACTGCTAACCCCTGCAAGATCCCAACAGATGAACCTTCAGCCTCTCCTCACCCACCGCCAGGGATGGGGAACACATTACTTGGTGGGGTGGCCCAATCTGCTGTTGAAGAGGTTTGATTTTAACAAAGTTCTCCCCGTATGTGTATTAATGGTTTCAATTCTTCCCTCTGGTCTAGAATCAGTTTACTAATATGTCAACAAAGCATTATTCAAATAAATCATATCTTTGAAAACAGTGACCATGATAAACATCCCTGGCTTCTCACCCATTCCTCATAAGCATGCTTTATAGATCTTCAAATGAAGTGCCCAGAATGGCATTAGTGCTCTGTAAGCTCACAGAATCTGTGACACAAGTGCTACAAAGCCCACATGAGCAGAAAGGACTCCTTGAGTGCTTGTGGTTAGAGAATAGATTCTGCTTTAGGCATATCTAGGATGAAGGTCTTGACCCCTAGAAGGTGACGCTGTTTAGGCACCCTCATTTCCTGGAGGGTGGGAGGAAAAACCTTCCTGGTGAGATCTCTTTTCATTCCCGCAGAGCCCGCCATATTGCTTAGTGATCATTTTGGAAGGCACAGAGAGCCTCAGGTGCTGAGTGCAGGGAGCTGAAAATGAGTACAGTTCAGATGGTGGGAGGAGCATGGCAGTGACCTCTTCGTTGCTCTTTCCCTCAGCGTCTGCAGCTCCAAAGATCAAGGCCATCACCCAGGAGAGCATCAACGGAAGAGTAATTCTTTCGCAAGTGAATGAGATCCAAAAGTATTCATGAAACCAATAAAAGTTTTTGCCTGTTGTAAAAACTATTTTTCCCCAATGGAAAGTCCTTGCCCAGACACAAATGAGTGAGTCCTAAGAGGTATTCCCGGAGTTATCAAACTCAAACTTTTATTTTTTTCTCTGTAACAATCTCATCAGATGTTCCATAATGATCTTGATATACTGCTGCACTTTTTGAATCAAAGTAGGAGTTGATGAGCTTAAAGCTCTACTTCCCTACTGCAGTCTTCAGATTCCCATCACCGTGTATCTGTTTTGTAGCCAATAAAACTCTACACCACCTGCATCATGTCTTTTTTTATATTATAAGGAAAGATAAGACCCCAAGGTCTCATTCTAGTGAGGGATTCTCAGAACATTGTCCATGAAAGATCCAGATGCACCTTAATGCTTTGAACATGTCCACAGCAGCCAAACACCGGGCAGAACTGTTACCCTGCAGCCATGCAACCGAGGACGAGATGTGACTCATGAGGCTCTCCAGACTTCTGCCAGCAGGAAGGGGGCAAAATAGAGAAAGGGAGGCCTACAAAGCCTCACTGAGAATGTGAGATGACCAGAAATTATTCTATCTCACATGAAAATAAATAAATAAATAACCAACTTTAAGGGCCTAAAAAGGAGTTAAAGCTAGAAAAGGAAAATCAGAAGAAAAAAAATCCTCATTACAGATAGATACTAAGACCCTAAAAGGGGAAGTGACTTGTCCCAGATCTGAAGTGCAAATATTAGGATCCAGAGTATTATGTTAAGGTGTAGTAGGGGCTAAAGCACAGAGACTACACACTTCTGTGCTCTGAAGAAGATGCTGTTTTCTCAAATTGTAGCAGTGTGAGGCATTGTTCCAACGCTCATACAGAGGAGCAGTGCCAGAGAAAAGGAAGATAGAAATCATATCCACTAGGACATCATCAGAATGTTGGATGTAAAAGTATAGGATATTAAGAATTTAAGGGACCATAGGCACAGGCTAGTCAAACTCTCCCATTTTACAGACAAATAAACTGAGGCCCAGAGCAATACAGGCATTTACCCTCTCACTCACTGGATTGTTGAGGCTGGATTTAGATCCGGCTCTCTTGGCTCCATTAACAGTTGTTAAACTAAAAGTGGTGTGATTTAGTTCCATTGTCATCTGACACATTGGCAATGCACTGGATATTTTTTGGCTCTGCGTTTTAATGCTCTCTTGGAAAGGACTGCTTTTGATATTTTCTGAATGGGGCATCTGTTAAAACTGGATTAGTCTTCCCTTTAAGGCAATAATTGGTGTTTCTGATTCTTAATGCCCAAAGAATAGAAAACTAACCCTTAACAATATGAAATTAGGCAAAAGGAACCCAAGATAATATCATCATTGCAAAAATGTGTTATTGGTTTAATTAAAACACATTAATTCTCTGGGGTAAAATTATAAATTTATCTTTACTGTGTGATTACTTCAAAGAATCTCAGAAATAACCAATATACTAACATCTTCAATGAGTTTTCTTTGTGCAATATTTATCTGTGGGAACTTCCGATGTTTTGAGGGGTGAAAATGGATCCATATTAGACTTCAATAGTTCTCTTTTTGTATTTCATTTTACTATGGGAACTTCTTTATGTAATAGGGTACTATAGTCTCAAAGCAGACCTAAAAATGAAATTGTTCTCTATTTTATCACAATTCAATCTGCTATTTTAGACATTATTATTTCTTTCTTGAAATCTAGAAATTATGCATAAATTTATACATATTTTCTCAAGGTGAAGTTTGAGCATTGCTAGCAAAATCTTTTGAAGAAAATTCAAAAAGAATGTGAAAAGCTGAAGGGAAAGTTATAATACTAGACCCAGAAAATAATCACTAACATTCCACTTACCATCATAGTTTATATATGATTTTGTAATAGTAAATCGTAACATATGGATAATTTTTTATTCAAGGAGCTAAAACATCCTTAGGGTCTTACTAATTTTCACTGTATCAATCACGGTGACCAACTCATCCCAGTTTGCCCAGGAAACCCCTCAGTCCCAGGCAAGCCAGGGTGGTTGGTCACTCTATCAATAAAGAACTGCTCTTGTCTTAGTCCGTTCAGGCTGCTGTGACAGAATACCACAGACTGGGTGGCTGATAAACAACAGAAACTTATTTCTCACGGTGCTGGAGACTGGGAAGCCCAAGATGAAGACACCAGCACAGTAGCGTTCTGGTGAAGGCCCACTTCCTGGCTCACAGCCTGTGTCCTCGCATGAGGCATGACAGAAGGGGCTTGGGAGCTCTGTGGGGTCTCTTTCACAAGAGCACTAATCCCGTTCATGAGGGCTCCACCCAAATGACTAAGCACCTCCCACAAGCCTCACCTCCTAAAGCCATCACCTTTGGGGGTTAGGATTTCAACATATGAATTTTTCAGATCCGTAGCATCTCTATTTCACTAAGGAGAGACGAGTAGAGAGAAATTAAACCATTTGCCTGAATAAAGAGACAACTGTATGAGCTTAGGCTCTAGGCAACATAGAATAACCTCTCTCCCACATCTAAATCAAAAATCTTTCAAAATACCCCTTCTAAATCAATTAGTGCCTATAGGTTCAGATGAATTACCAACCAAAGTTTTCATTTGTATTCGGTTTTGACCAACACACACCCAACCCACATAAAGGAGTGGGTAATAAATTCTATTGTTTTCATTACAGAAACACTTTGAGTAAATAGCACTTATTCCATTACTCAAAACCCAATTAAACAAATAGTTGGCTAATCCAGAGAGGTATAAAGTATTACTCAAATTTAATATTTATGTCAACATATTTTCCAACAGTATCATAACATAGTTGACTGGACAGATCCATTTAATATGTTTAAATCCAATCAAACACATGCCTTTACTAAATGTTCATTTTTCCGTTAATGTTTTTACACACCTACCCTATTAACAATGTGTGAAATTGGGAAGTAAACTTCTTAAAAATTCATTATTAAAGAATGTAGCAATTGTCTGTTGGGGGTAGAGGTCATAAAGCTGAGACGGGAGCAAGGACTCGAATTATGGTAGGAAAAGGTAAGAAAGAGAGATTCCAGAAAGTTCCTTTAGCACAGGGGTTCTCAAACTTGGTTGCCCCTCAGGATCACCTGGGTAGATTTAAAAATTCTAACGCTCAGGCCACATTACAGATCAATTAAATCAAGGATTTCGAAGGTTGGGACCCTGTCATCAACATATTTTAAGATTCCCAAGTAGTTACAACGTACAGCCAAGTTTGAGAACCTACTGCTTTAGTAGCTTCAGGTGAGTGCTTTTGTATTTGTTTGTATGCTCCCCATATGATTAATTTTTTAATACCCCCATAAGAGTTAATGATGACTAATAGAAAAATAAGGACCTCCTTCATGTCACTCCCAAATGTTTGTGAATAGAGTTTCATTTTACAGAATTGTAGAGAACTGCTTCCAGAAAGGACAGCTGAATAAAAACTAAGTAAGATAAATACTAAAAAGTATTTCACAAAAGTCTGCAAACTTACTTCCACCTAAGTCTAGTAAAATCTCTTTCAGGTGCTTAATCAAATATTTTCCAGAAGTGTTAGGCTCCTGTAATGAGTTTCTATGATGAAAATTTGCCATATTATTTTAGTCTCTTCATTTCCTTTACCTTTTAGATCTTTTTCACAGCAAAGTAAAATAGTAACATATGCAGATACGAGTCTCCTAGGGAAAACAGCTTTAAGCCAAGTGACTAAAAAATTTAATTGTGGAAACAACTAAGTAAATTTTTCCTTAAACAAGTATCAGAGTATTTTAGTATTTCCCAAATGCACATTTTATATTCCTCTAATAGTTAATCAGGCATCACATGTTAAGTTCAAATAAAAAAATATTAGCATTAGAAGAAAACATAGCAATCAACTTATTGAACCCTCTTGTTTAAGAGATGAGGAAGCTAAAGTCTAGAAACGTGAGCCAAGCCCTCCTGGGGCTCAGATCTCATACCCACTTATATGTAGCATCTCTGACACATGGAAACATCAGAACTGAAGAAAGAATCACATAATTTTTAAAACTCATAGCAAATTAAAAATAACAATTCTAAATGTATGAACTATTGAAAAGCCAAAATAATTAATGTATGAGCTCTTAAGCTGGAACCAATTTGTAAAAATGCCAATAATTGCCCGAAAAACGTAAGCCTGAGACAGGTACTAGCGGTTGAATATTTTTGTTTTTTTACAGATGGTTTTAAATAAATCACTTAACACAGACTATATGTAGCATGGAGATTTTAAAAAGTTTACACTGTGTCAAATAACATAACATACTATTTCTTTGGGATAAAAATAACATAAATCCAAAAATACATTTTATGGACATTAAGCAATATTGTACCATAGTACATATACACCTGTCTAGCCTTTCACAATTGCAAATGGATACTAGATAATAGTATTATTTTCTGAGTATGCAGTAGATATTGGTGGCCCCAATGAATCCCTACCACCAGGACCCATGTCTTTCTGTAGTCTCTCTCACATTTCCTCTGGGCCTGGCCATGTGACTTGATTGGGCCAATGAAACATCAGCATGACACAAATTGGGGTTTAATAAATGCTTACACATTGGGGCTTATCCTCCTGGAGTTCTCCCTCTAGGAAGCCAGCCACCACGTAAGAAGTTCATTTACCCTGAGACTACCGTGCTATGAGGACATCTAGCTGGCCTCATGGAAGACCACATGAAGGAAAACTCAGGCACCTGGCCAACAGCCCTAGCTGAAGCTCCAGACATATGACTCTGGTCAAGCCATTCCAGATAGTTCCCTGCCATTCAAGCCAACCCAGCTGAGGCCCCAGACATCATGGAGTGGAGATAAGCCATCCCCAGTATTCTGAATCTGAAATTCTGACCCACAGAATTATGAACAAATAAAATTGTTGTTGTTTAAGCCAGTAAGTTTTGGGGTAGTTTTTCATGTGGTGATGGATAAGCAAAACAGAGTATTTAAAATAGAAGTGTCTATTATTGGCTCAGTGGCAACAACTGATTTAAGGCTAGTCCATTAGGATCTCACCAAACCTTGACCAGAATTTTAGTCATTTTAACACTGAAATGGATCTCTACAGAAGTCCTGGTCCAATAACCACAGATGAGGCACCAAAGCTTCCAAAGGAAAAGCCCTCTTCCCTCTTCAGAGACGGCAGAGAGTAAAGCCACTGCCCACATATGTTCACAGCTCCTCTCTCTGCCTCTTCACAAATGGGGACCAAGCAATGTAACTCCAACCCGGAGGGGAAAACCATCTC